TATTGCAGTTGAAGTATAGCTATTCAGAATAAGTAAACTAATATCTAACATGTGCAAGTTCCATAAAAAATGGCAGACAGACCAGCCAGTAGCAGCAGAAATCATGACAAAGATCCAACGCATCCTACTAAAAGTGACTTTAGAAGTATATGTAAAATCCGACATTACAAATATTGAGCTGTAACAATACAATTACAGCCTAACGGTTGTTCTAATAGGAACACTTACATAGATTTTCGATACATTTATTTCTTGGTAAAGAAAAAAAAAACAAGAAAAGACTTGAATCGATTTGTCATTACTTTTAGAATACCCTTGGTATTCATATTCTTCCTCGTTATTGCGGTTTACTCTTTAGTCTTGCCCAATATTTATTCTGTACCTAAGCTGGTACCAGTGAGCAAAGCTACCAGCAAAGACTTGCAACTTCAAATCGATAATCTAAGGAACACCTATTTACATAAGTACTGTATAATTCTTTATAACAGAATACGGTTATTATTTTCATTATTGTGTCAATAAAAATATTTGGTGAACAAAGTTAATACACATATATTATCTATTTATATGTATTTTCCTTCTCTAATAATAAACAACCAACCATTTTTAGAATAATCTATATCTTAAGTAAACTTCAGGCTTAAGTAACAAAAACAATTTCGCACTTCACTTGATGAGTGAGACGCCTTTAGTTACTTTAAATATTTTGTTTATTTGATTTATGTTAATCAAAATATTATTAGTAAAATGCATGTTCGGAACAAGTCCGATGGAAGTAAATAAAGTAAGTGCATCAAGTATGACTTGCTACCATTAATCTGCGAAGCATTTTCTGAGAAAGAACATTAGACAAATTGAGTTTTTATTTACTTGCGGTTTTAATGAGTAAATGCTCTGCTCGAAAACGAGTTTCGAGGTATTCATAGATCAGCACAAGCAACCCAAACCTCTTATCGTTCCATTACTCTCAATTTAGTGTTCGATCTATCTGCAAACGGCTCGTGTGATTTTGTGTTTTAGATAATCTATTCAAATTATTGTGTTTTGTTGTAGTGTTTCAAGACTTAGTATGCGTTTTAGAATATATTTTTTAGTTGTCTATGGATTTATTGAGATCTATGCATATACGATGCCTGAAATCGTACTTGACTTAAAACATACCGGATTTCAGATATCAGTTCCTGGTAAGATTGTCAAAAGAACCAAAATGCTTCAGTTTGTTTGTGTGTGTTATCGTATTTATGTATTCATATGTATGTATGTATCCATTAACATGAGAGATGTACAAGATACACGCCTCCTAAATTCGCAACTAAAATCGATAAAATGCTGATTTTGTAGAAATATTAAGAAAACAAAGATTTTATTCATAAAATCAAATCATTATTAATCCAATCAAAGCATTATTATTATCGAAGCTTTGATGTTATTTAATTCATTTAAACAAAACAAATTAATCAGCGTCATTATTCAGAGAAAAATGTGCTTTTTTCAAATGAAATGAAAATGAATTACAAAAGTTTATTTAATCGAGTAATATAGTATTGTTCTTGTTGTCTAAAAATATCTTTATCAATTATGGGATTTTTTTTAAGCAAACTCTTGAACTTCTACCTGAATTAAATGTTAATGCTAATTTTTATATAACATCAAGTTTTATGGATTAATGTTATAAATATATAATAAATTATTTAAATTACTGTCCACGTATTTAAATGATTCTTATGTTTCTGATAGCTGTCAGAAATCTACATGATCGTAGTTATAGGTTTTATTCTTATCAATATATGTATTTTCAAATATGGATAGTTTTTTTTTCAAAATATTTATTATACCAAATATTCACATAAATTATATTATTTTATATAACCACCTCTTATCTTGAAATACTATCACACCTAGCCCCACAATTCATTCATATCTTTTGGTACATCTACATTATTTTCTTTAAGGACTTCGCATGAATATTCAATGGGATAAGGTCAGAGACCTGAAATGGCCAGTAAGACACTTTGTACCCAGTATCACTAGTCCTCTTCATTAGGTGCTTCGTGTCGTTATGTGTTTGTGCTCAATATGTTCACATAACATTATGTATTTTATCTATAAATCTTTGTACTGTACTTACACCGCCATCTATCATATAGCCCCATTATCATAATTGGCTCTTTGCCATACTTTAATGTAGACTAAACGTCTTTCAACTGCAAAACACTTCCATTGACACACCAAGTCCATGCGCGTTCATGCATGGACGCAAATAACTCAAATAATTTTTATTTCGTCGGAAAACACTATCTTCGACAAGTCGTCTGTTATTCATTTTTTATATAGTTTTATCAATTCCATACAAATCACCCTATCCCTTATGGCAAGCAACGGTTTTTTACGTTTACGCGACCTTTAATTCAGCTGATTAAGGTATATTTCTAACAGTCTCCATGCAAAGATTAGTATATCGTGATGGACAAGCTGCCTATGGTTCTCTACTGCAGTTTCGTATTTCTGCTTAAAGTTGAGGATTGCCTTGCAAATCGGAGACAAATTGGGTATAGATTTCCGATCTTCGTTACACAAGTTTTGCTTATTCCCAACTGTGTCGAAATTTCAGAAGAATAATTAAAATGACAATTATAAACAAAATAGGAATAAAACCGATCGCGTAGTTTTGTTGTAGTGATCATAAATATAAGCATAATTTAAATAAATGTATTACTGTTTGAGACAAAGACTGTAAATGCGATCTGTAAAATCTGTTAATAAAAAAAGGTAGTATAAAAAGTATAGTGTTTTCCAACTTTTACTCTCTACTAACTGATCAGAGTAAGCAATAACTGACCTTAGATCTGCATACCTCCCTGAGGAGCCTGTAATTTTTCTGAGATTCAGTAACGCGGTGTTGGTAAGCTTGTCAGTTTTCGTAAATAGTTCCAGGGTTATATCCTTTATGTATTATTGTATTATATTGAAAAAGTTAATCAATTTATTAAAAAAAAATATTTCTAGATAAAGCTGGAATAACAGAGGTTGTGTATGTTATTGAAATAAATGATATATGTTCAACAATAATGGACTATTTAAGTAAACCTCAAGATAACATGTGGTCGGCTCGTCAGCAAAACATAACTCTCAATAATCACGACCGTGTTTCCGTTACCTTAATGATTGTCCATAATGACAGCATATATTTGAATACAGAAAATTTTCGAATAGAAAATAGTAAACCCAAAAAAGTGATCACATCCAATATTAAAAAAAATAGCATTGAAGATTTTATTCCGGAATGCGTGACAGCTCATACTAACAATCAAAACTGCCGAAAACCGCAGACTACTTCGACTACCGCAATAGTTAATTGCATAGATGACTTAATATTTGAAGAAAATTTTGACAACACAGATGAAGTTAACCTCTCTCGTTGGAGTTACGATATATACAATAAGAACAGTGATAATCGTAGTGTAGAATTCGTGCTCTTCGATAACTCAAAAAAGAACTGTTTCGTTAGTGATGGTTGTTTAAACATCGTGCCAACTGTAACCGAGAAAATACGTGCCCAACCAATTGATCTCAGAAAAAAGTAGTTCTTTTTTTATCAAATTAAGGAAAGCTATTAAAAATTATATAAATGTCTTCATAGATGTACGAGCAATTTTAGAGATGCCTGCTATATCAATACCGAAATAATAAACGTATTTTATCCTGCTATTAATTCATCACAAATCAATACGAAGAATTTTTTTACTTTTAAATATGGACGCATTGATATAAGGGCGAAATTGCCGATTGGAGATTGGTTACTTCCATGTAGGTTAACCCCATAAATATACGTGTAATATAATAGAAAATTTATTTTCTAAATAATAAATATATTTTCCAGATATAATGCTGAAACCAGCATACCCATATGAAGATGAAAATTCACAAATTAGAATAGCGTTTGCGCGAGGTAATCAGAATTTATTAGACGATTGCAAGTCAGGTATTGACGGCAAGCATTTATATGCTGGAATAGTATATTGGAAAAACCAAAAACGTACAGAAAATTTTATGGAATTTCTAGGTGAAAATCACTTCGGTGAAAATTTTCACAATTACTCAATATCATGGACGACTGAGAGTATATCTATGTCTGTAGATGGAAAGCAATACGGAATAATCAATGAAGGACTAGAGTATTTCACTGGCGAGGTAAGTTCAAAGATTTATTATTTTTTTACTAAAAAGTGTAAATAAAGGGTTGTAAAAGTTTAGGGATCGCGCAATTGAAGTATATATAATTGATTATAAAAATTAAAAAAGCCAAATGAAAGGTAAAAAAGTGATTTTTCTGCTTTGCAACTCCTTTGTTTGCAATACAACTGCTGTGAAAAAAATTCCAGGAGCTAATCCTGTTATAAAAATAAAACTGATACTAAACATCATAGGATGTCCAATATACTTTGAGATCACAATGGGCCGATCAGTAATGAAAGGAATGTATAACAGACAGACGTTGAGTACATTAAATTCAGCTTCAAAAGTTACTCAATAAAATCTTGGAACATCTTATGCTGAGCCGGTCAGGTTTTCCAAATATTATGAAGTTACTTGTCCAAATCGTCCAATAAGTAATATAGAAGCACTTCATAGCGTTTACGAAATCCACGAAGAATTCATACGGAATATTCATCGTATGCTAACTTTCCAACTTTAATTAATATGTTACAAGTTTTGAGCAAAAAATGAATTGTATATACTATTGTCTATATTTTAAACCAACATAAGCTCGATATCTACAAATCTTCATCAATAAACACTTGAGACAAATTTTAAGACTTTGATAGACTAAAACGATCTGCAACGCCCGACTGTGGGCTATAACAGAACAAAACCATCAGCGAAATCATACTTGCTGCTCTAGAATCTAATCCACAAGGTTAAGGAAATCACGATCAACTAAAGACTACATGGATAAGTGGATAAGGACAATCAACGAAGAGTCAGGTAAATCTCTCAGTGAACTAAGAGCTATAGCGCGTAATAGAAACAATTGGAAATCTTTTGTGATTAGACTAAGTTCTTGAATTAACACTTTTGAACATGTCAATAATAAATAATAATAAGCTCGATAATTACAGCTTCTTAAATCTTGATGTTAGAAACAAAAGCTTCCACCAGCCATGGCCTAATGTGAACTGAGATTAACCATCTGCTCAGAAAATTCTTATTTTTTTTATCGAAATACTTAGAAGTAAATTACTAGCTGTCGGAGATATAGGTAATGCGAAGCATGCCTTTTAGCGTTTAAGGCTAACAAAATCAAAAGAAAAACAAATCAATTTGGCAACTTATAATGGTTTCGAATTAATTTCAAAGAGCTCTCTAACTTACGTACTTACGAACATTAACAGATTTAATTCAAAGAGAAGTGTATAAGAAATTCAGATGTCAACTCTTTAAAACGAAACGCGGAAATTTGTTAACTGACTAAAATATAAACAAGCAATTTGAGCAATCGAACTTCAAAACTACGGTCTCTTTTGAAGATATCAGTGCCTCTTGGAGACACTGACATGCCCTTTTTGTGGACATGGTACAGACGTTCAATAAAATATGACACGATGGACTACTGTACTGATGTAGAATTTTCCACATAAAGAGAAAGCATTTTGTATCGGAAAATAAGAAACTAACGCTGGTATTCCATAAGGCAAAATACTTTGACCAATTTCTGTACCTAATATAAGAAGATGATATTCTTAATCTTTGTAATACAAGCGACCCTCAAGCCACTTTTACTTACTTAAGTTTCAATTTAAAAGACCTGGAGAAATGGTTATGAATGAATAGAAAACCATCCTCACAGCATTTACATTAAAATAGAAAACTTATAAACAAAAAAATTAAATTGAAATCTATTTCCGCAAAACGTGGTTGTTTGGAAATACAAGGAAATAAAGACTGACACAGATACTTAGAAGATATATAAAGATTAGAAGATACATACTTAGAAGATAAAATAAGATGAATAAGTTAACTGGCTCTTAATCAGAAAAGAATATTGAAAAAAAATTGCTAATGTACACGACACATACCAAACTAATCTGGATATTGTGGGACAATAATGATTTGTGTCCTTTTTGTGAAACATTAGTTTATCTCTTCAAACAGTCCTTTGTCATGACTGAAGATCTTATTGCTCTATATATTTACTTTTTATGTGATCATTTACCTATAATATGATAATATTAAAGTCATTTATTTTTGTTCTTTCAATTAACTTATTCGTAGGAACGACTAAAATCACCGATCTTTCATGTTAATCTTCGAGCTGATAAGATAATTGATCCAAATACAAATGCAATCACTATGGTTTATTTTAGTTGATCATTGTTCTATATAATTAAAAATGTTCAATCAAATACTAGAAAATTTTTCACAATTTGAAATTAGTTTTTAGTTTGAAATTAAATTAAATTCTCTTAATAATGTAGAATTTTTCATCATTCATTTTTAAGGTCTACATTTCAATTGGACTATCTGCCGGTGGCTGGGAAGAATACAGAAAATCTGAAGAGTTAATTTGGGGTCGGGAAGATTCCAGAGCAAATTATCATTTTTGGAATAAACGAAACGAGTGGATCCCCTCCTGGAAGGATAACGGTTCTATGAAAATTGATTATGTTAGAGTATATGCCATATAAAAAGATATTTTTTCTTGATCTAACTAATACTATTACATGAGATAAAAAATATCGAAATAAAAAATGTTTAAAAAGATATATTTTTCAAACTTATCCAACCGATATATTCTTTAGATATAATAATCAAGAAAATCGTTTTTAAAATTAAATCAAATAAATGCTCATTAATATTTGTAGTTAGCTGAAATTATTTATTATTATTAATAAGTAGTTTATATTAATTAGTAAGTAAAGAAGTATAAGAGTAGAATAGAAAAATAGATATTGGACTTTCTGGATTTATTGAAATGTGTATTTTCTATATATATATACGCGGTTTTATTTGTAAAAAATTTCTGTTGAAATATCTCAATATCTCAAAAGTACTTTATTTAAATAGTTGAATAGTAAATTTATCTGGCTATATGAGTAGTACTTACTTCTCTCTCGAATATTCCTTTTATATTAACTGACTTCATGGGAAGAAGTCTAATTGACTTCTTGGAAAAAAAATCTATTAATAAAAATCAACTTAATAAATTTAAAAATCAACTATAAATTAAATTATATATGTATATTATATTTCAAAATAAGCTTTAGTTATTTTTTCCAAAACCAAATATGTCAAAATAAATCTAAAAAATTAATTTATAAACGTAGTAACATTAAAAATATCTTTAAATTATCAACAAAAAATTTAAATATATATATGTGTGTACATACATTATTAATGAAATATATGTAATTAATATTTAGAGTAGTTGTGAGTCCATTTTTTTAATTATTTTTAATTAGTGAAAAGAGGCTGATTTGAATAGAAAATAAAAGCTTATAGATCAGTTTTTATTTTTGTTTTTATTATAATGTAGTAGTCAATATAAATGTCGGGAACATTTCAAAGTTTGTTTGACTTCTTCCTCAGGACGGAGTATTATTTCAGATGTTCTTGAAAACATAAAAGGCGTTTATTTACATTATTCATATCAATAATGTCAATAAGAATCAATAACTATCCTAACTAAGAAATTTGTACTACCAGTCAATACCAAATATCAAGAAGGATTTTTGATATATATGATCTGTAAACTACAAAATTTAAATTATTGGGTATTAAATTATAAATTATTAATAAATTATTTTCAACCGCCATTGTGTTGCATTGTCTTTTTTGTTTTTGTACTGCGTAATATTTTTACCTTATTACACAAAAAATTTGAATATTTATCGGATAATCAAGAAAATTGTTTACACAATTTGTTAATTATTATTGGATTCAAGAGATTTGTTTGTAATTCTAGCTGTCAAAAATGTTCATTTTGTTTTGAAAGCAATAACACTTGACAGCTAAAATTGCAAACAAAACTTTCGTGTGAATCCAGTACAACACTCAGTTTCTTTTCTTTATCATCTTTATCCTCCATAAAATCCATGTAAAGATATATGAGGTAAAAGCGTGATTATTTTTTAGAATCGTTCAATTCTGTATGGAAACATTTCAATGTGGTAATCATGAAACAAGTAAACCAAATTTAAAATGGAAACAAATAACAAATTGTAAATAATAACACAGATGCGAATGGACCTATTCACAATAGATGCGATGCTTGAAACCTGTTTGTCTGATTACACCTCTTTAATTTCGGACAACGATATTTACTTAGGTCGTGTGCGAGTTAGGCTAAGTTGCTAAATGAGGGAAATTCTAAGTTGTGTCGATAATGTATTGATGTGTCGATACGTGTTGATAAATGGCAAAATGTGTGCAGTGCAAAAAATCCCAAAAAATCTCCCATTTGGTTTAGCATCAACTTAGCCTAACTCGCACACGACCTTAATACTTAACACGTGCGTAATATTTATGCCAAGAAAAGTTTTACTTCGCACGAAACGAGATGTTCAAATTGTACTATAGTGTGAACGCAAATAAAAACGTTTACAAACGTCAAGCTACCGCGAATATGAATAATAGTATCAATTTATAATATCTCACCATAAATAAATCTATATACATTTTGAATTTATTAATCGACCAGTTTTTTTAATAATGGTTGTCATATATTTTTTATCCGTATATAGGTCACTTTTTGTTAAAATTAAAATTCAACGCTTGTTTGATATAGTGCAATATAGACAACAAAATGAAGAGGATGACGCTTAGATATAGACTTCATTAATATTAATTTATGTTAGATCCTTATCCTGATAATGACTCTCAAGGATAAAAATAAATTAAATAATATTAAACAAACATTGAATCTTAATTTTAACAAAAAGTGACCTATAGCCGTATAAAAAATATATTAACACCATTAATTATATACTTTAGTAAATTGAAGTCTGAACTGTAGGTAAATATGGTAGTAAATCATATTGAAAAGTGAATTGTGAACAAAAACAAATTGATTTTTGTGTTTTCTTGTACTTTTGTTTTAGTAAAACGCCTAAAAGTTTTTTAAGTATAAATTGCTTACTCATATTCATAAGTTAAGTGTGACGAGCAAACATACCTCAACACTACGAATGTGCTGATTTTTATATTCAACACATGTTACTCATAACATGTCGTATTCATATAATTAATATTTAAAAATAAAAGTCTGGCAGCATTATAATTCTTTTCTTCTTTTGTGCAGAAATTTTTCAGTTGCTTTTCATCCGCGTATTGCGTTAAATGGATTAAGAAATATATAGAGGAAGTTGCTTTTTTATTTTTATTTTTAAACGATGAATAATGTGTGATATATGTAGAAAATAAAAACAAACGAATTGGAGGCAATATAAGAAATTAATTACATAAAACCAAATATCAAAATAAGATTCGTTTTCAAATATATATTGGGCCAAAAAATTCTAACTATTTTTTTGGCAAAAACATAAATTGAATTTGAATAATTATTAAATTCATATTGCTAGACATTAATTTATGTGCTAGCGTCTATTGGCTAAGTAAATGTAGAACACTGCTGCAGGAAAGTAGCAAAACGGGTTCATCATTTGAAATGGATATACTTGATATCGACGAAGTTCTCAA